CCGGACGGGAGTGAACCGTCCGTTGGCACTATTCAAATGAGTTATACGAATGAGGGGGTCGCGTCTTGGCCAGGGGTCGAGGGAGGAGGTCGCAATTTCAAGGACCCGCAACCGAAATCGCGACAGTAGTTGATCGGTGGATGAAGGACTGGGGAAGAACACTCACAAAGAACTTGAAGCTGTCTTGGTGGCCCTCGCATGCTCACCACAGAACTCGGGCAGGGGTTCAGCGCGTCACATCAGCGTGACGTCCCAGAATTAACACTGACACTTTCGCGATCTTAAGCATGACTGGTATGACGGGACTCTTCATCAGACGGCCTGTAAACTCGTGCCTAACGCCGGTACTATAACCCCCTGGTTTTGCTTACACTCGTATCACTTGGCTACCTTGCCTCGCAGGCCTTAAACTGTAGTGCAGACTCCCATAACGGCCGGTTTCAGAGAGTATTATAGCATTACTCTTACTCATTCTACCATAACAAAGTACAGATCAAAAGTGGCAGGAAATTATCAGGTGGCTGAGTTAATTCTGTTCGGGTTAAGACATGTGATGTTATTACGTGAAGGCTGGTAAATGTAACTGCTGCTAAAATTTAAGAAAATCTCATTTGACAGATTTCACTTCACATCACACGACAGTACATATACCGCAACTGATAGCGTGTTAATATTTGTTGTTCACATGTTACAAATGCAGCGCTCAAAATTGCATTTTTTTCACCTAATCTCAAATGTGGCTTTCTGGAGTGGATTTGCGGGAGTGTCCTATTAAAGGAATTGTAGAATTTCTTCCCCGCGCTACTTTGCGCAGAATCGCAAAAGTATCCCTATAAGCAAGCAAATTTGAATCGCTTGTGACGTGATAGCGCAGTGGCGTTGGCCTGGGTTCATAGCACTCAGCCAATCGGGTCAGCTCCACAATGGGAATGTTCTTCTGTTTTTTTTTTGAGCAACAAAGCTGTTAAGGCCTCTCTCTTTGTCCCACCAACCTTACCTGTCTGAAGAGCTTAGAAACACTTGTTAACAAATTAAGGCAATATTTGCCAACCATTGCTTTTGACGCTCGTAGCTCACGTGCCAAACGTTCTCGCCGAAAACAAGCCCGATTTTCGTGCTCATACGCACAGTGCACACATGGCCAACAAAAGGAATTTGTCTCGAGCAAGCTCCTGAGAAACAGAAGAAAGTGTACGGTTATGGATGGTTTCACTTGTTTGCTGTGCTGATACAAGTATGTTGTAAGGTTAAGTATGCTCCACACAATGGACTGGGAAACCGATTGACTTTTATTTTTCGCGCTTCAGGGTGTTAAAACGGTTAACAGCCCTTATTGTGCACAGGTCCGCAGTAGTACTACGGTTTGGGACTGATTATTGTTTAGCACTTCTTAGCAATAGACTTCTTCGGATACCGGATTAAGATACCAGCATTGTCATTGCTTTGGGTCCTCTCATTGTCAGGAGGCAACATGGTACCACGAAACGACTCGTATTCAATCAGTTAAGCGAGTACTATAGTTCAGTCGGGACGCTGATCATTCGCCGAAGGAACACCATGTGAGAAGAAAAAATTATGAATTTGAATGGGTTTTTGAGTTGATATTTTGTTGAGATTGGCGAAATCTTAACTGTGTTAGAACGACGTTCAACCTCCAGCCATGACTGTGCTAATTCACTACTCTCACGAGTATGTGTGGAAGTCTTGGAATCAGTCTGCTATTATTGCCCATGGAGCTCATGTTGACAGGCTACTGCCTTGGCGATAGTAAACTGTAAGGGAATCAGAAAAGTACATCACGATGAGGCGGTACGGTTCCGATAACTTCACTGTACACCATTGGTGAGGGGTTTGACGGCCTGTTTCAACCACATGCAACAGCGCGAAGAGGGGTCTAGTCCACCGATTACGATCCATGTCATCATCAAAACCGCACCGCCCTTCAGCCATAATAATCATTGTCTTGAACAGCGCAAGAGCGGCGGTTGTTGTACATAGTATAAGTATCTATAAAGGTGGCAGAATGACCCAAAGATGAAAGCGTTAGAGTCAGATGCAAGCGAACACGAGGGCTATAAAAGAAGAGATGTAGGGATGTCAGAATGAATGACCTACGGATAAAGCTGGAGCTCCGAAAGATGTCCTGTGTAGGTCAAGTAGTGACGATAACGAGGAAATGCGAGCCCTATGACAGCTTGGGATCAGGATGCTGACAGCCATGAATGACTTAGTAAGCTAATTTCCACGTATGCGAAAGAATTGTAACTGTAACGAGTGGAGGTTTTGTGGAAGTCGTAAGACTTTACAGCACAGATACCGTCCACTATTCAACCATGGCAATAGGGGTTTGCCGACCCTATATGCACGCAGAAAAACTGGGAGGTCGGGGGAGGAGGTAAGGTAAGATGCAAAAAAAGGCTGGATGAATAACGCTTTGGTCAAAAATTTGTAGTAAAGAGACTAAATATCATGGTCCAAAAGTCTCAAACTCTCTTCACCGTACTTGCAAAGAAACTCAGAAAATGAAAACAGTTTGAGCGTTTTTTTTTCAATTTTCAGGGAGTGACCAGCTAGGAGTTTCGATTGATTAGCTTAACACAGTAGTCCCATTGTCAGTGTTCCAGATCGTTGGTCCCCCATTCTTATTTTCTATTTTTTAGGCTAATACATAGTTGATCCTGTTTCGGAAGGTGGAAGCAGCGAACAGTATCCGGGGAATTGAAGCCTGAAGCCTTACCCTTAGTTGCGCTTTGGACTCATCGGTTTTCACTTGGTTCGAACACCCGAGCACAATCAGATACTCTGCGCTCTCCATCCCTTCACTACACGTGTTCTGATCTTTGAGATGTCATCGTCGTTGCATGTGCAATATTTGACTACGGGCTACCGTTTCCTCAGGCGGCACTACTTAAACGCTGTCAGAATTTTCGTAAAACAGAGTTGCTACCATTCCGTAAGCACGTGTTCACTACTCACATTTGTCACTTTCTTGGTAAATTCAGTGAATTGTTGCTCCTCACAACCTCTTCATTTCTCCCTCCAGCTCACTTTCATGAAATGGAAAATTTGAACACATGCTCAAATCACAACGAATACAGGACACTTGCCCAAACAGGAACTCGAATTTCTTCTAATATCATTACTAAGTAATAGGCAGTACACATTTTCATTTCATGCTCTATGCGCATCTGCTCCAAACTGAAAGGATTAGGTTGCAAAGAAAATTCAAGATGAAACATGAAAATGAAGAGTTCACTCCGAACAGTGGAGGTTCAAGGTTTTTCCACAGCGTGCGCACTGTATTTTACTGTGGCTGAACTCTTCAAATATTATGGAAAGGTTACTGGTCCAAGCAAATACTTCAAGGGATTATCTAATGTAATTACTTAACATTAAGGATGGAAGAATACCTCTGAAAGTGCTCAGCAAATTCCATTGTATCCTACAGATTACGTCGGGAGGAGATGGTGGAGTTTGTGTGCAGCCCAGAAATCAGTCTATGAAATCGCTCACAGACGCAGTCTTAGAATTTGTGATGTTACTGCTTATTGCGCACCAATTATGTAGCTCGTTCGTATGAGAGATTTCTCAGTGTATGAGATGTAGTGTATGAGAGAAAAATGCGCTTGGCAGAAAATCATTCCACGAAGTCATCCTTAAAATAAATTGTAAAAAACGGAACTTCCACAAAAACGTCTCACCAATTTGTTAGCGTCGTCTGGAGCTCCTCTCAACTGACGCCAAGGATCTTCCTATGTGGATAAGGTCATGTACGCAAAGCAGCTGCACCTGGAAGTTCCACTACAACATTTGTGAAGAGCCTAGAATTTCACTTTCTCATTTTCTTTTATGGCCTCCTTCTATTCGCTGTACTAATATGGTGTTTTTTCTAAAGTAGCTCAACTAGTTTGCAACAATAGTAGAATTTAAAGCTAACATTTATGAGATCTTAGGTATTTACTTTTCTATTTCACCGCTCTTCTGATCTGGCAGCACCTGGATGTACGTTACCCTTAACTTTTGACCGTCAAGTGAGACGTGCGTTAGGTAGAATAGGCCCGAAATAGTTTAAGAAGATCGTTTCACGGGTCTGCGAACGAATCGGAATTCCTGGGAGCTAACTCTCCTGAACTACGTTTCAACTGAGCCCGGAAGCACGACATTGTATTGCACTCCTACGGGATACCAGTGCTCTTCAATTAGCAGCTACTAATGTCACTAGGCATGGAATGCTTCTTTGTAAAACGATCGATCATGTATTTTTGTGCATACGGATTTTTGGAGGCAAGTATCAACCCTTAAATGGAATGCTTGCTATCTGTTCAGAGTAAAGTAATGCCTTGACAAATTTTCTTCATTAAAAAATCTCGTGTAACTGTATAAGAGCACCAGTGCCGTCTTGGCGGAGTGAGAAATATCAGCAATCGCGTGAGTGTGATCGAAAAAATCATTTTTCTCTAAAAAGCTTCTTCTGGTGAGAACTACTGACTACATGACTCAAACGCGTGCTCAAAAATCCAGCGCTCGCCTGTGGCTAATCTTATAAGGATCAGCGCACTCTGAACAAGTTTACGTTCACCAATGATTCATCTCTGACGGACAGTCTCACTCAATACTTCTATATCCTAGAGGTCTTACCACTTTGATGACGGACTGCGGGGCGTTGCGGTCTTTATGAAGCCAATGAACACCATTGGTGGAAAAGCATTAAGAGGCGGTCCCAATCACACGCGCTAACCAATTGAGTTCGAAGACCTCATAACCCCACCACCCTAACCTGCCGTTGTGATCACTGCCTCTAAAATTAAGTCGGAAAATAATTACATAAAGGTGGTGTGTTTCACCACAATTGCGACTTCATGCTCTACTGTTGGAGCAGCTTCTTTCAAGAGCCGAATAGAGAACGGGAGCGCATCTCGAGTATCGCGAAAATAGCTAATGAAAGCGAATGACCCTCAATCGTTTCAGATCGAAAATTATGGTGATATACCAGTCGTGAGATGACTCCGAAACCGGATTTCAATCTTCAGCGGGGAGCTGCTGACCCTCGTCAGGCTTCAGACACTTCGAAGAAAAGCACGGTAAGCAAAATATCTAGTGACCCAGCCGGCAATCGAGACCGGCCAAGCTATTCAAGTTAAAGAAAATGTTTGAAACGAGTAATTGCTTAGTCAGCTTTAAACTATTTGCAACTTTTATGCTACGGTTGGTTTTCTTCCCACAATCCAACGGTTAGATGATTTTGCCTTTTCAGGTCTTAGCTGTCCCTGCGTTCGCGAACCAGGTCGAAGATGACGATGATGACAGAAAATACACGTACACACCATCAACGATTGAAAAAGCCATTAACATTATGCTATGCAGGTGAAGATGTTTTTCATAAAGGATAAAGGATAAAGCATTTGCCGTTGATCAATCCCTTTTTGGGATGCGGCACGCATTCTACTTCCATTTGTACATTCGTAGTGGCGTTTGAATGCGATGTGGCCTATACAATGACTTGCGGGGGCCAGCCGATGTACAAGTCAGTGTTTTTATCCTCCCAGACAAGTCTGGTACCAATTAACCGACCCCGGAGGGATGGAAGGCTTGGTTGGCCCGGGCGACTCACGACCCAGGATTTGATCCCCGGACCGCTCGCGTGGTAAGCGTGCCACTTGCCACTACACCACTTCCGCCTTCCATATATATGAAAAAAAAATATCCGAGTCAGGGCTGAAAATCAAGCACTAGGTGGAATAATGTAATAATAAATAATTGAATACGGAAGTACGCTCAAAAAAATGTTCTGAGAATTGGTACTAACCCACTATTTTCAGAGGAGATCTTGCAAATCAAGTACTAGAAGTGAAGCCAGTATCGATTTTTGGATTGGTGAGTATTGCTCAGTTTAAAGAGGTCCATTAAAAGGCCCTTCAAGCACTCACTCGGTCAACTGAGCCTCACCGAATGTCAGGTTTTTGCTATCCATAAGATTTCATTTCTTAACATATCCTTATTCAACGGTTATTTAATTATACATCTAAATAGAGGAGGACCTTTGATTATTTTTCTCAATAAAAAGTCTAATAAGGCGAACTTTTGAAGTATTTCCCGATGGTTGCATGACAAAGGACGATCCGGTTTGTAGGTGGTTATCTCGGACAAAACAAGCCTTTCCGAGGGTTGGTTGGACGGTAATGAGCTTTTCAGGAGAAAAAAGCATAGATCTGATCATTGGTTTGCTTTTGCAAGCTTGTGGAGCCCCGCCACCCATTCAAACATGACATGATTTGCAGGTCCGAAAAAATATATGGCGTATTCCAAAACGATTTGACCCGATTATTATTTCATCGATTTCACCTGTTTTATGTCCTCCGTGATTTCTGAGCGAGACCACTTATTGCCAGTGTGCCAATTCACAGGAAGTTGCGACAAGATCAAACAGATTTTTGTAGTTGTTTGACTACACAACTAGATAAACAGAGCTCGCGCTTGTAACTCACTTCTCGCTACAAACATCACGGAGGTGAGAACACCTTGATTGCGATCGCTTAATATGTGGTTGCGCTTAGGAAACTCCGTAGGCTGGAAAATCTTTTTTATTTAACTAATATTAGAAATTCATATCTATGCTTCCGAGAAATAACGCTCTTGAGTGCAGAAAACAGACCACAAGTGACGAGGGCTTCCAAGCAGGGTCGGTCCTATCGTTGGAACTTTTTGCAAAATTTTTACGACCCCCCTCCTTCACGACGGCTTTCATACGACCCCTTCTTCACAACTTATTTTCCCCTCGAAAAACACCGTCGAGCGAGTGGGAATCTATATTTCCACTGCAACATTTTCTAGGGGAGTATACAGACGCTGAAACGGCAAATTTTCTCCCGCGCGCTCTCACCTCATCACATGTAATTTCTGCCGAAACAAGTACGACCCCCCCCACCACAAACTTCAACAAACTACGACCCCCCGTTGGTACTTGTAGCAACGTAGGGTTGACCCTGCTTCCAAGTAAATCTGGTTACTAGTGGTTCATAGTGATAGCTGATTTTGGTAAATGATAGTGTAATTAGTGACAACTGATAGAATACAACTGCAACAGGCTAATCATTTCATTGGCAGAAAACATTTACATTTTGTGGAGGCCGTCGTCACTTGTGGTGTGTGGTCTGCTCCGTCAAGCACCTGGTTTTCGAAAATAGATGGTATTCATAGGCTTCTGACGACCAATGAGCTTTCCCCTCACAGTAATGCGCTCTCCGTCTCAATACTTCACAATGCTCAGGCCATTTCCAGAAAATCCAATGGTTAAAGTTAGAAGCATTTTGTGGGGTATAGAGCTAATGTGAGCCATCGGACATCGGTCGAGGGAGGAGGCGCAGGGTGTCATGGGTGAGAAGGTTGAACTCAGGGAAAAGGAGAGAGGGTTTCGGACGTATTGGCCGGATTTTCCCGATACATTTCTCCGCTATGCTTTGATAAACATCGCTGAAAAAAAAGCATTAGACACAGCATGGTGAACAGATATTTTTTCAAGGTACTGCATTAAAGCAGAATCCCACGATAGGATTGGAGATAGAGGAAGGGGAACCTACGTAGGAAAGACAGGGACCTCTCAAGGGTGCGGACGTACGCGCAATTCGCAGCTAAGGATGTACCCCCAGCGATTTAGCATGGTTGCCCCGCAGCCTTTTGGCCGCGGCCCGCCCACCCCTCGCCGTCTGGCTCCAGCGCTTAGCATAGACAGCTTTAGCGTAATGAGGTCAGCACCGAGGAGAGGGGCCTAACGCGCAAATCAACGGGCAAAAATGGTCTCATTTTTCGATTTTCAGATTGTTTGTCTTGGTTTTTTCTTCATCCCTGCACCACTGTTCACCCCTAAGTTGATTCCTAGTAGGCTGTATATTCATCGTAAACTCCGCCTTTGATTGAACTATAACTTGGATAAATGTTCCACGTTAATTTTCAGACGAAATTCCAGGAAATTTCAGTTTCGCTTTGCTACACCATGGGACCACTTCTGCCTATTCGTTGGCGTCGTATGTTCGATAATCAGTGGCGTATCACAACCTGTTATGGCACTTATCAGGTAAATGCGTAATTTCAGAACTAGCACTTACTGCGCATTTTCTTGCCATGTATAATAGCAAAGATACGACAGTAAGGGCCACTTCTACTTGAGCACTTCTTCAAGCCTTTTAGCCTCAGAAGCGACTCCTTCCCATTTTTGCATACCGTCACGGTGATAATGAGTAAATAAGCAGTGGACCGAGTCATAGACCATTCATGACGACTGGCGCAGCACGTTCTGATCGAGCTAAGGGCTCAGGAAGAACCATGAGTAGAGATAATTAGGACAAGGTGACCTTCACTACCTGCCACACCTTCAAATTTGGAATCCCACAACTCACCGTCACCGCCAGATTCTACTCCAAGCCCTCTTGAAACCACAGCTGACCTTTGACAAAATATGCCCCCATGGGACGAGGAATGCAAGCAGATTAAAAACAAATCCCAAGAATCACGAAATCCACCAAATCACCAATCGAAACCCAAGTCACGAAATTTCGCAACATTTCGGAATTGGTCAAAAAGAATTAATCTCGCAAAAAGTCTTTACGCCCTAACTAAGCCCTATACTTTCT